CAGAGTTGAAGCTGGCGTCGGTGTAGCAAGTCAAGCGCATCTCCCCCTTGCCCAAATCAGCAGCACCCCGCTGCTGCCTTTGCCTCACGGCACTGTACTCCAAGCCCACAGATGCCGTTGCACTCACATAGCAGACCAACCTCTTGGCCGCTTCCAGCTGCTCATGACTGGGACGTGAAACCACACTTGCAAGCCTGGATGTAGCAAACGCAATGTCAGGCCGCGTGTGGTTGGCCGCATAGTTCAACGCCCCGACTATTGAAAGGAACAGCTTCCTCTCACTCTCTCCCACCACCTCCTCATCAGCACAGAGCTCCACAGTGAACCCCGAAGGTAGTGGGGTGGCTGGCTTCCCTCCATCTTGCAGCCCATACTTCTCGGCCAGCCCCTCACAGTACTTCCTCTGGTGCAACCTCAACACTCCCTTGTCAAGGTCCCTCTCCACATGCATCCCAAGGTAGTACTTCACATCTCCCATCTTGGAACACTTGAACTGCATCTCCAGCATCTCCTCCACACGTTCAATCATTGCAGACGACTCTGAGAAGAGCAGGATGTCGTCCACGTACACCAGGAGCATGAGGAACTGCTCCTTCTCTTGCAGCAGGAACAGGCTGTGGTCGCACTCACTCTTCTTGAATCCCCCAGCCAGCAGTGTCTCCTCCAGCTTGTGGTACCATGCGCGAGGAGCCTGCTTCAGGCCATAGATGGCCTTCTTCAGCCTGCACACCCTGCCGCTCCCATCGTCCAACCCCTCAGGCTGCAGCATGTACAGCTCCTCCAGAATGATCCCATTGAGGAAGGCAGTGATGATGTCCATCTGCTTGATCCTCCATCCGCGGTTTGCAGCCATTGCCAACATTGTCCTCAGTGTAGTCCCTTTCCCCACAGGAGCAAAGATGTCGTCAAAATCCTTGCCCTTTGTTTGCTGGAACCCCTTAGCCACAAGTCTTGACTTGTAGCGGGTCAGCTCCCCATCAGGTCCGTACTTGTGCCTGAAGATCAGCTTGGAAGAAATGGCCTTCTTCCCAGGAGGCAGCTCACACAGCTCCCACGTCTCGTTCTCCAGTAGAGAGTCGTACTCCTCCTTCACACTCTGCTTCCACTTCTCAGCATCGGGCCCACTCAAGGCCTCGGTAAGCGTCTTGGGCTCGGGGACGGCTGCCCAGTAGCAGTGCGCTATCTCCTCCTCATCACACTGCTCAGCCACACTCCCAGCCCGCACCACCTTTGGCTTCCCAAAGCTCGGATAGGTCAGCCGGTTAGGAGGGCGCACATCCCTCCTAGGACGGTCAGCCGCACGTTGCTGCTGCTGCTGCTGCGGCTGCTGCTGCTGCTGCTGCTGCTGCTGCTGCGGCTGCAGCTCCTCCACCTCAGGTTCTTCTCCATCCTCAGTCACCCCAGAGATCTCCTCCCCCGACACGGAGACCTCCACCTGCCTTGAAGGCCGCTGCACCTCATCGGCCTCAATGATCAGCGGTGTCGTAGGAAGCTTCTGCTGCTGCTGCTTCCACTCCTTGTAGTACAGGGACTCGAGGAACTTCACATCCCTCGACACAGTCAGCTGCTGGCTGGTCAAGTCCCAAATCAACCAGCCCTTGTGATCCTTTGCAAGTCCCAAGTGCACACCCCATCTCCCAGAAGCTTCCAGCTTTCCCCTCTTCTCCTTTGGCACATGAAACACCACCATGCACCCGTAGGCTCTCAGCATGTTGACTGCTGGTGCACTCCCATACCACTTGGTGTAGGGGATCCACTGCTTGTCCCCCACAGTCGCCAGCACCCGGTTCTTCACAACGAAAACCTGCCGTAGTGCTGTTACCTAAAACAGATCCGGCAGCCCTGCACGCCCAAGTAGAGTGCGGGCACCTTCCTGCAGGGTCCGGTTGAACCGCTCAGCCACGCCGTTCTGCTGCGGGTTGTAGGGCACTGTGAGCTGATGCTGAATGCCCTTCTTCTTCAGCACCGCCTCAAAATCAGCGCCAATGAACTCTCCCCCATTGTCCGTGCGGATCACCTTCACCTTGTGTCCGCTCTCCCTTTGAGCTCTCGGCATCCACTCCTTGAGAACAGCCGCTGCCACATCCCCCTTCGTCTTGAGAGGGTACACCCACACCGCACGCGTGTGGTCGTCCACGATGGTCAGGAAATAGCGGCTGCCCGAGAGCGAAGTGGCCCTCGTGGGGCCCACCACATCCATGTGCACAAGCGCAAGTGGCGCCTTGGCTGGTCCCGTGCTGCTGCTGAAGGGAAACTTCGTGAATTTCGTCTCAAGGCATGTAGGGCAGCTCCCTACCTCCTTTGCTGCCCCTTTCACCTCCAGCCCCTTCAAGCTCCCATCCTTCGCCAACTTTTGCAGCATCGGTATGTTAATGTGGCACAACCTCTCGTTCGACGTCTCCCAATCGGCCTCACCACTCCCGGACGAAGCCTTTGCCCATGCAGCTGTCGCATCCACACCTGCAAGCACCTCACCATGAGGCTTCCGTGGCTCCTGCACCTTCTTGACTGCATCCAGGGCCCTAGCAGTTGGTGCAGTCACCTCTCCTCCCGCAGTTGCCTTAGCCGCTGCCGCTGCCTTTGCCGTTGCTGGTGGTTTCCCATTCCAAGGGATGATAGGCAGCTGCCACAGGTCCTTGATGCAGCTGCTCTTCTCCTCCAAATCCCACAGCAGCAACTTCCCAAGTTTTGCACGGCAGCGTGTTGGGCCGAATGTAACTTTGGCCTTGCTTTTCTGCAGTCGGCGCACAGAGAGGAGGTTAGCGGATAAACCTTCAACTAGCAGGACATTCCCAAGTCCCACAAGTCCCCCATTGGCTCCCATCACCTTGGCATTCCCAACACCAATCACAGGGAGCAAAGCATCTGAAGCGGCAGCCACAAACTTGATCTTCCCAGGGGGTTTCACCTCATCAAGCAAATCTGCCCGCGGAGTCATGTGACTCGTGCAACCTGAATCGATCACCCAGTGAGTGAGGGGGTGCATCACAACCTTCCCAACCGAACCCACATCATCCTCACTCCCTTTCACTTCCTCAACCATGAGGAACAGCCCAGGGTCAGCTTTACCTTGTGCACCATCACCTTGTGCACCTGAACCTTGCACAGCGCCACCTCGTGCGCGTTCACCACTTGGCGGCTTCATGCCTGGAGGCGCCCATCCTTCAAGCCGACTGAAACACTTGAACCACGGGTGTCCAGCCTTCTTGCAGTACCAGCACGCACCCTCCATTCGGGTGCTCCCCCTGCCACCAGAGCTTCCATGCCCCTCGTTGTAGTCACCTCGGCCTCTTCCTCTGCCAAAGCCTCTCCCACGGCCTCGGCCTCTCCCTCCCCCTCTTCCTCTGCTGCCTCCTGCAGCTCCATACCCCTCAGCAGTTTTGTTGGCAGCACCACCTCCCGTGTGGCGCCTGCGGAAGTCCTCCTGCAGGATCTGCTGCCGTAGCCATTCAGGCGTCCATTTGTCCTGCTGAACGTTGAGGGTGGGGATGAGGTTGTCCCATGAGTTGTCGAGCACCGAGATGATCTTGGTGCACTCCTGCATCTTAGATACCTTGCTGCCCGCCGCTGCCATCCTCGCATAGGTGTCCTTGATCTTGTCAAGCACCGGCTTCACATCGTCTCCCGGCTTCATGGAGAGGGCAGCCAGCTCCTTCTCCAATACGATCACCATCGGCAGCGTGTTGGGTTGTACCACGTCGCGTAGCAGCTTCCACGCCTTCGGTCCGGATTTGTCCAGCTCCACCAAATACTTGATGTGCTGGAACATGTCATTGTTGACTGATTGTAGAATCAGGTCGTACAGCACCGCGCTCCGCTCAATCCATCGGTCGCGAGCGTCTCCTTCCTCCGGCATCTTCTCTTCTCCCATCGCAAGCTTCAGCAGCTTGTAGCGCTTGAAGGCGCTCCGCATCCGCCCGCTCCATTCCTCATAGTTGGAGCCATCCAAAGCCTCGATCTTGGACGGTGGCGGTTCACTCTTCTTCTCAGCTGCTTCTCCACTCATCTCCTCTGCTCCCAATCAGAGGTTTCAGCTCCCCCCTTTGCTGGTCACAATGTAGATCCACAAGATCTTCACAAGTGTCGGCGCCAACGAAATTTCGGCAGAGTTTTCCCTTAGCGGAAGTCACTCCCAACCTTTTAGAACACCACTTAGGCACGCCCACAGGCCATGGTGGGTCTAAGAGGGTCTTCACACTTCAGTAGACTCCCCAGAAAGTCCTTAATCGCTCTGATACCACTTGTTAGAGATTAAGGATCGAGTCTATGAAGAATAGGTGCCCAAATAACTCAAAATCGTTGGCTTAGAATTCTGGACAGAAACCGCGACTTCACAAGAAACGTCGTCGGCTAAAATTGCACCGTTAGAATTGTCTCAAACTCGAGTATGTTGTAGCCTGTAACCAGGGCTATCGTTCCCAATTTGAATCGTATCAAATGGTGGAGTAAATCTTGAGTTATGATTTTCGGCGCACTAGGGGGTAAGCTGCCACAAGCTTAACTCAATCACAATAGTGTCACAAAGATCCACAAGAGACACACACAAGAGAGTTAGAGTAGGACTAAACCAGGTAGGAGGGAAGAGGAGGACGAGAGGAAAGGTCCCAAGGAGTCTCCAACCAAAGGAAACCTCATGCCACACAATTTCCTTCTCCATAGGCAACCCCACTTTCACTTTTGTCACTTTCCCAACTCATGCCATCCACCTCAACCCACTTGGCCACACTTGCCAACCTGGTTTGGCTGCTCCCAAGCACATGGCAGCAGACTACAGTGATGGGTTCGAATTCCCAACCCCCAAAGTCACCGCAACCAAAGTACAGAAAGCATACGAACTCCAATGTTCGTAACTTTCTTGATATTGCTCCGATTGCGACGATTCTTGGTTCGTCGGAAAGCTCTCGAGCAGAGACTTCACTTCAGATATCTGCTCAAGCCAAATAGAAGTCACACACACTCAGGAAATCCAAACCGCACAAAACATAAATTCTTGCACACGCTCACACCACACATGCAACGCAAGAACATATGATGGGAGGCAGACAGACGTGAATGCATATGATTGCATCACACAACAGGCATGAGGGCATGAGGGCGTGAGGGCATGAGGGCGTGAGGGCATGAGGGCATGAGGGCATGAGGGCGTGAGGGCATGAGGGCATGAGGGCATGAGGGCGTGAGGGCATGAGGGCATGAGGGCATGAGGGCATGAGGGGATGAGGGCATGAGGGCATGAGGGCATGAGGGCGTGAGGGCATGAGGGCATGAGGGCATGAGGGCATGAGGGCGTGAGGGCATGAGGGCATGAGGGCATGAGGGCATGAGGGCATGAGGGCATGAGGGCATGAGGGGATGAGGGCATGAGGGCATGACGGCATGAGGGCATGAGGGCATGAGGGCATGAGGGCGTGAGGGCATGAGGGCATGAGGGCATGAGGGCATGAGGGGATGAGGGCATGAGGGAATGAGGGCATGAGGGCATGAGGGCATGAGGGCGTGAGGGCATGAGGGCATGAGGGCATGAGGGCGTGAGGGCATGAGGGCATGAGGGCATGAGGGCATGAGGGCATGAGGGCGTGAGGGCATGAGGGCATGAGGACATGAGGGCATGAGGGCATGAGGGCGTGAGGGCATGAGTGCATGAGGGCATGAGGGCATGAGTGCATGAGTGCATTAGTACATGAGGGCAGGAGGGCATGAGGGCATGAGGGCATAAGGGCATGAGGGCATGAGGGCATGAGGGCATGAGGGCATAAGGGCATGAGGGCATGAGGGCATGAGGGCGTGAGGGCATGAGGGCATGAGGGCGTGAGGGCATGAGAGCATGAGTGAATGAGGGCATGAGGGCATGAGGGCATGAGGGCGTGAGGGCATGAAGGCATGAGGGCATGAGGGCATGAGGGCATGAGGGCATAAGGGCGTGAGGGCATGAGGGCATGAGGGCATGAGGGCATGAGGGCATGAGGGCATGAGGGCATGAGGGGATGAGGGCATGAGGGCATGAGGGCGTGAGGGCATGAGGGCATGAGGGCATGAGGGAGTGAGGGCATGATGGCGTGAGGGCATGAGTGCATGAGGGCATGAGGGCATGAGTGCATGAGTGCATTAGAACATGAGCGCAGGAGGGCATGAGGACATGAGGGCATGAGGGCATGAGGGCGTGAGGGCATGACGGCATGAGGGCATGAGGGCATGAGGGCGTGAGGGCATGAGGGCATGAGTGCATGAGGGCATGAGGGGATGAGGGCATGAGGGCATGAGGTCATGAGGGCGTGACGGCATGAGGGCATGAGGGCATGAGGGCATGAGGGCGTGAGGGCATGAGGGCATGAGGGCGTGAGGGCATGAGGGCGTGAGGGCATGAGGGCGTGAGGGCATGAGGGCATGAGGGCGTGAGGGCATGAGTGCATGAGGGCATGAGGGCATGAGTGCATGAGTGCATTAGTACATGAGGGCAGGAGGGCATGAGAGCATGAGGACATGAGGGCATGAGGGCGTGAGGACATGAGGGCATGAGGGCATGAGGGCATGAGGGCGTGAGGGCATGAGGGCGTGAGGGCATGAGGGCATGAGGGCATGAGGGCATGAGGGCATGAGGGCGTGAGGGCATGAGGGCATGAGGGGATGAGGGCATGAGGGCATGAGGGCATGAGGGCATAAGGGCATGAGGGCGTGAGGGCATGAGGGCATGAGGGCGTGAGGGCATGACAGCATGAGTGCATGAGGGCATGAGGGCATGAGGGCATGAGTGCATGAGGGCATGAGGGCATGAGGGCATGAGGGTGTGAGGGCATAAGGGCATGAGGGCATGAGGGCATGAGGGCATGAGGGAATGAGGGCATGAGGGCATGAGGGCATGAGGGCGTGAGGGCATGAGGGCATGAGGGCATGAGGGCATGAGGGGATGAGGGCATGAGGGCATGAGGGCATGAGGGCGTGAGGGCATGAGGGCATGAGGGCGTGGAGGCATGAGGGCATGAGGGCATGAGGGCATGAGGGCGTGAGGGCATGAGGGCATGAGGGCATGAGGGCGTGAGGGCATGAGGGCATGAGTGCATGAGGGCATGAGGGCATGAGTGCATGAGTGCATTAGAACATGAGCGCAGGAGGGCATGAGGACATGAGGGCATGAGGGCATGAGGGCGTGAGGGCATGACGGCATGAGGGCATGAGGGCATGAGGGCGTGAGGGCATGAGGGCATGAGTGCATGAGGGCATGAGGGGATGAGGGCATGAGGGCATGAGGGCATGAGGGCGTGAGGGCATGAGGGCATGAGGGCATGAGGGCATGAGGGCGTGAGGGCATGAGGGCATGAGGGCGTGAGGGCATGAGGGCGTGAGGGCATGAGGGCGTGAGGGCATGAGGGCATGAGGGCGTGAGGGCATGAGTGCATGAGGGCATGAGGGCATGAGTGCATGAGTGCATTAGTACATGAGGGCAGGAGGGCATGAGAGCATGAGGACATGAGGGCATGAGGGCGTGAGGACATGAGGGCATGAGGGCATGAGGGCATGAGGGCGTGAGGGCATGAGGGCGTGAGGGCATGAGGGCATGAGGGCATGAGGGCATGAGGGCATGAGGGCGTGAGGGCATGAGGGCATGAGGGGATGAGGGCATGAGGGCATGAGGGCATGAGGGCATAAGGGCATGAGGGCGTGAGGGCATGAGGGCATGAGGGCGTGAGGGCATGACAGCATGAGTGCATGAGGGCATGAGGGCATGAGGGCATGAGTGCATGAGGGCATGAGGGCATGAGGGCATGAGGGTGTGAGGGCATGAGGGCATGAGGGCATGAGGGCATGAGGGCATGAGGGCATGAGGGCATGAGGGCATGAGGGCATGAGGGCGTGAGGGCATGAGGGCATGAGGGCATGAGGGCATGAGGGGATGAGGGCATGAGGGCATGAGGGCATGAGGGCGTGAGGGCATGAGGGCATGAGGGCATGAGGGCGTGGGGGCATGAGGGCATGAGGGCCTAAAGGCATGAGGGCGTGAGGGCATGAGGGCGTGAGGGCATGAGGGCATGAGGGCGTGAGGGCATGAGTGCATGAGGGCATGAGGGCTTGAGTGCATGAGTGCATTAGTACACGAGTGCAGGAGGGCATGAGAGCATGAGGACATGAGGGCATGAGGGCATGAGGGCGTGAGGGCATGAGGGCATGAGGGCATGACGGCATGAGGGCATGAGGGCATGAGGGCGTGAGGGAATGAGGGCATGAGGGCATGAGGGCATGAGGGCATGAGGGCATGAGGGCATGAGGGCATGAGGGCGTGAGGGCATGAGGGCATGAGGGCATGAGGGCGTGAGGGCATGAGGGCATGAGGGCATGAGGGCATGAGGGCATGAGGGCGTGAGGGCATGAGGGCATGAGGACATGAGGGCATGAGGGCATGAGGGCGTGAGGGAATCAGTGCATGAGGGCCTGAGGGCATGAGTGCATAAGTGCATTAGTACATAAGGGCGGGAGGGCATGAGGGCATGAGGGCATGAGGGCATAAGGGCATGAGGGCATGAGGGCATGAGGGCATAAGGGCATGAGGGCATGAGGGCATGAGGGCGTGAGGGCATGAGGGCATGAGGGCGTGAGGGCATGAGGGCATGAGGGAATGAGGGCATGAGGGCATGAGGGCATGAGGGCGTGAGGGCATGAAGGCATGAGGGCATGAGGGCATGAGGGCATGAGGGCGTGAGGGCATGAGGGCATGAGGGGATGAGGGCATGAGGGCATGAGGGCGTGAGGGCATGAGGGCATGAGGGCATGAGGGAGTGAGGGCATGATGGCGTGAGGGCATGAGTGCATGAGGGCATGAGGGCATGAGTGCATGAGTGCATTAGAACATGAGAGCAGGATGGCATGAGGACATGAGGGCATGAGGGCATGAGGGCGTGAGGGCATGAGGGCATGAGGGCATGAGGGCATGAGGGCATGAGGGCGTGAGGGCATGAGGGCATGAGGGCATGAGGGCATGAGGGGATGAGGGCATGAGGGCATGAGGGCATGAGGGCGTGAGGGCATGAGGGCATGAGGGCATGAGGGCATGAGGGCGTGAGGGCATGAGGGCATGAGGGCGTGAGGGCATGAGGGCGTGAGGGCATGAGGGCGTGAGGGCATGAGGGCATGAGGGCGTGAGGGCATGAGTGCATGAGGGCATGAGGGCATGAGTGCATGAGTGCATTAGTACATGAGGGCAGGAGGACATGAGAGCATGAGGACATGAGGGCATGAGGGCATGAGGGCGTGAGGACATGAGGGCATGAGGGCATGAGGGCATGAGGGCGTGAGGGCATGAGGGCATGAGGGCATGAGGGCATGAGGGCATGAGGGCATGAGGGGATGAGGGCATGAGGGCATGAGGGCATGAGGGCATGAGGGCATGAGGGCGTGAGGGCATGAGGGCATGAGGGCATGAGGGCATGAGGGCATGAGGGCATGAGGGCATTAGGGCTTGAGGGAGTGAGGGCATGAGGGCATGAGGGCATGAGGGCATGATGGCGTGAGGGCATGAGTGCATGAGGGCATGAGGGCATGAGTGCATGAGGGCATTGGTACATGAGGGCATGAGGGCATGAGGGCATGAGGGCATGAGGACATGAGGGCATGAGGGCATGAGGGCGTGAGGGCATGAGGGCATGAGGGCAGGAGGGCATGAGGGCATGAGGGCATGAGGGCATGAGGGCGTGAGGGCATGAGGGCATGAGGGCATGAGGGCATGAGGGCATGAGGGCATGAGGGCATGAGGGCATGAGGGCATGAGGGCATGAGGGCGTGAGGGCATAAGGGCATTAGGGCTTGAGGGAGTGAGGGCATAAGGGCATGAGGGCATGAGGGCATGAGGGCGTGAGGGCATGAGGGCGTGAGGGCATGAGGGCATGAGGGCATGAGGGCATGAGGGCGTGAGGGCATGAGTGCATGAGGGCATGAGGGCATGAGTGCATGAGTGCATTAGTACATGAGGGCATGAGGGCATGAGGGCATGAGGACATGAGGGCATGAGGGCATGAGGGCGTGAGGGCATGAGGGCGTGAGGGCAGGAGGGCATGAGGACATGAGGGCATGAGGGCATGAGGGCGTGAGGGCATGAGGGCATGAGGGCAGGAGGGCATGAGGGCATGAGGGCATGAGGGCATGAGGGCATGAGGGCTAGAGGGCATGAGGGCATGAGGGCATGAGGGCATGAGGGCATGACATCATGAGGGCGTGAGGGCATGAGGGCATGAGGGCATGAGGGCATGAGGGCATGAGGGCATGAGGGCATGAGGGCATGAGGTCACGAGGGCATGAGGGCATGAGGGCATGAGTGTGTGAGGGCGTGAGGGCGTGAGGGCATGAGGGCATGAGTGCATGAGGGCATGAGGGCATGATGGCGTGAGGGCATGAGTGCATGAGGGCATGAGGGCATGAGGGCATGAGGGCATGAGTGCATGAGGGCATGAGGGCATGAGGGCGTGAGGGCATGAGGGCATAAGGGCATGAGCGCGTGAGGGCATGAGGGCATGAGAGCATGAGGGCATGAGGGCATGAGGGCGTGAGGGCATGAGGGCATGAGAGCATGAGGGCATGAGGGCATGAGGGCATGAGGGCATGAGTGCATGAGGGCATGAGGGCATGAGTGCATGAGTGCATGAGTACATGAGGGCAGGAGGGCATGAGGGCATGAGGGCATGAGGGCATGAGGGCGTGAGGGCATGAGGGCGTGAGGGAATGAGGGCATGAGGGCATGAGGGCGTGAGGGCATGAGGGCATGAGGGCATGAGGGCATGAGGGCGTGAGGGCATGAGTGCATGAGGGCATGAGGGCATGAGGGCATGAGGGCATGAGGGCATGAGGGCATGAGGGCATGAGGGCATGAGGGGATGAGGGCATGAGGGCATGAGGGCATGAGGGCATGAGGGCATGAGTGCATGAGGGCATGAGGGCATGAGTGCATGAGTGCATGAGTACATGAGGGCAGGAGGGCATGAGGGCATGAGGGCATGAGGGCATGAGGGCGTGAGGGCATGAGGGCGTGAGGGCATGAGGGCTTGATGGCATGAGGGCGTGAGGGCATGAGGGCATGAGGGCATGAGGGCATGAGGGCGTGAGGGCATGAGGGCATGAGGGCATGAGGGCGTGAGGGCATGAGGGCATGCGTGCATGAGGGAATCAGGGCATGATGGCGTGAGGGCATGAGTGCATGAGGGCATGAGGGTATGAGGGCGTGAGGGCATGAGGGCATGAGTGCATGAGTGCATGAGTACATGAGGGCAGGAGGGCATGAGGGCATGAGGGCATGAGGGCATAAGGGCATGAGGGCATGAGGGCATGAGGGCGTGATGGCATGAGGGCATGAGGGCTAGAGGGCATGAGGGCGTGAGGGCATGAGGGCGTGAGGGCATGAGGGCATGAGGGCATGAGGGCATGAGGGCGTGAGGGCGTGAGGGCATGAGGGCATGAGGGCATGAGGGAGTGAGGGCATGATGGCGTGAGGGCATGAGTGCATGAGGGCATGAGGGCATGAGTGCATGAGTGCATTAGAACATGAGCGCAGGAGGGCATGAGGGCAAGAGGACATGAGGGCATGAGGGCATGAGGGCGTGAGGGCATGAGGGCATGAGGGCATGAGGGCATGAGGGCATGAGGGCGTGAGGGCATGAGGGCATGAGGGCATGAGGGCATGAGGGCATGAGGGCGTGAGGGCATGAGGGCATGAGGGCATGAGGGCATGAGGGGATGAGGGCATGAGGGCATGAGGGCATGAGGGCATGAGGGGATGAGGGCATGAGGGCATGAGGGCATGAGGGCGTGAGGGCATGAGGGCATGAGGGCATGAGGGCGTGAGGGCATGAGGGCATGAGGGCGTGAGGGCATGAGGGCATGAGGGCATGAGGGGATGAGGGCATGAGGGCATGAGGGCGTGAGGGCATGAGGGCATGAGGGCGTGAGGGCATGAGGGCATGAGGGCATGAGGGCATGAGGGCGTGAGGGCATGAGGGCATGAGGGCATGAGGGCATGAGGGCATGAGGGGATGAGGGCATGAGGGCATGAGGGCATGAGGGCGTGAGGGCATGAGGGCATGAGGGCGTGAGGGCGTGAGGGCATGAGGGCATGAGGGCATGAGGGCATGAGGGCATGAGGGCGTGAGGGCGTGAGGGCATGAGGGCATGAGGGCATGAGGGCATGAGGGCGTGAGGGCATGAGGTCATGAGGGCATGAGGGCATGCTGGCGTGAGGGCATGAGGGCATGAGGGCATGAGGGCATGAGTGCATGAGGGCATGAGGGCATGATGGCGTGAGGGCATGAGTGCATGAGGGCATGAGGGCATGAGGGGATGAGGGCATGAGGGCATGACGGCATGAGGGCATGAGGGCATGAGGGCGTGAGGGCATGAGGGCATGAGGGCATGAGGGCATGAGGGCATGAGGGCATGAGGGCATGAGGGCATGAGGGCATGAGGGCGTGAGGGCATAAGGGCATTAGGGCTTGAGGGAGTGAGGGCATGAGGGCATGAGGGCATGAGGGCATGAGGGCGTGAGGGCATGAGGGCGTGAGGGCATGAGGGCATGAGGGCATGAGGGCATGAGGGCATGAGGGCGTGAGGGCATGACATCATGGGGGCGTGAGGGCATGAGGGCATGAGGGCATGAGGGCATGAGGGCATGAGGGCATGAGGGCATGAAGGCATGAGGGCATGAGGGCATGAGGGCATGAGGGCATGAGGGCATGAGTGTGTGAGGGCGTGAGGGCGTGAGGGCATGAGGGCATGAGTGCATGAGGGCATGAGGGCATGATGGCGTGAGTGCATGAATGCATGGGGGTATGAGGGCATCAGGCCATGAGTGCATGAGGGCATGAGGGCATGAGGGCGTGAGGGCATGAGGGCATGAGGGCATTAGCGCGTGAGGGCATGACGGCATGAGGGCATGAGGGCATGAGGGCATGATGGCGTGAGGGCATGAGTGCATGAGGGCATGAGGGCATGAGGGCATGAGGGCATGAGGGCATGAGTGCATGAGGGCATGAGGGCATGAGTGCATGAGTGCATGAGTACATGAGGGCAGGAGGGCATGAGGGCATGAGGGCATGAGGGCGTGAGGGCATGAGGGCATGAGGGCATGAGGGCGTGAGGGCATGAGGGCATGCGTGCATGAGGGAATCAGGGCATGATGGCGTGAGGGCATGAGTGCATGAGGGCATGAGGGTATGAGGGCGTGAGGGCATGAGGGCATGAGGGCATGAGTGCATGAGTGCATGAGTACATGAGGGCAGGAGGGCATGAGGGCATGAGGGCATGAGGGCATGAGGGCATAAGGGCATGAGGGCATGAGGGCATGAGGGCGTGATGGCATGAGGGCATGAGGGCTAGAGGGCATGAGGGCGTGAGGGCATGAGGGCGTGAGGGCATGAGGGCATGAGGGCATGAGGGCATGAGGGCGTGAGGGCGTGAGGGCATGAGGGCATGAGGGCATGAGGGAGTGAGGGCATGATGGCGTGAGGGCATGAGTGCATGAGGGCATGAGGGCATGAGTGCATGAGTGCATTAGAACATGAGCGCAGGAGGGCATGAGGGCAAGAGGACATGAGGGCATGAGGGCATGAGGGCGTGAGGGCATGAGGGCATGAGGGCATGAGGGCATGAGGGCATGAGGGCGTGAGGGCATGAGGGCATGAGGGCATGAGGGCATGAGGGGATGAGGGCATGAGGGCATGAGGGCATGAGGGCGTGAGGGCATGAGGGCGTGAGGGCATGAGGGCATGAGGGCATGAGTGCATGAGGGCATGAGGGCATGAGGGCATGAGGGCATGAGGGCGTGAGGGCATGAGGGCGTGAGGGCATGAGGGCATGAGGGCGTCAGGGTATGAGTGCATTAGGTCATGAGGGCATGAGTGCATGAGTGCATTAGTACATGAGGGCAGGAGGGCATGAGAGCATGAGGACATGAGGGCATGAGGGCATGAGGGCATGAGGGCGTGACGGCATGAGGGCATGAGGGCATGAGGGCGTGAGGGCATGAGGGCATGAGGGCATGAGGGCATGAGGGCGTGAGGGCATGAGGGCATAAGGGCATGAGGGCATGAGGGCGTGAGGGCATGAGGGCATGAGTGCATGAGGGCATGAGGGCATGAGGGCATGAGGGCATGAGGGCATAAGGGCATGAGGGCATGAGGGCATGAGGGCGTGATGGCATGAGGGCATGAGGGCTAGAGGGCATGAGGGCGTGAGGGCATGAGGGCGTGAGGGCATGAGGGCATGAGGGCATGGGGGCATGAGGGCATGAGGGTGTGAGGGCATGAGGGCATGAGGGCATGAGAGCATAAATGCATGAGGGCATCAGGCATGAGGGCATGAGGGCGTGAGGGCATGAATGCATGAGGTTATGAGGGCATGAGGGCATGAGGGCATGAGGGCATGAGGGCATGAGGGGATGAGGGCATGAGGGCATGAGGGGATGAGGGCATGAGGGCATGAGGGCGTGAGGGCATGAGGGCATGAGGGCATGAGGGCGTGAGGGCATGAGGGCATGAGGGCATGAGTGCGTGAGTGCATTAGAACATGAGCGCAGGAGGGCATGAGGGCAAGAGGACATGAGGGCATGAGGGCATGAGGGCGTGAGGGCATGAGGGCATGAGGGCACGAGGGCACGAGGGCATGAGGGCAGGAGGGCATGAGGGCATGAGGGCATGAGGGGATGAGGGCATGAGGGCATGAGGGCATGAGGGCGTGAGGGCATGAGGGCATGAGGGCATGAGGGCATGAGGGCGTGAGGGCATGAGGGCATGAGGGCGTGAGGGCATGAGGGCGTGAGGGCATGAGGGCGTGAGGGCATGAGGGCATGAGGGCGTCAGGGTATGAGTGCATTAGGGCATGAGGGCATAAGTGCATGAGTGCATTAGTACATGAGGGCAGGAGGGCATGAGAGCATGAGGACATGAGGGCATGAGGGCATGAGGGCATGAGGGCAAGAGGGCGTGAGGACATGAGGGCATGAGGGCATGAGGGTGTGAGGGCACGAGGGCGTGAGGGAATGAGGGCATGAGGGCATGAGGGCATGAGGGCATAAGGGCATGAGGGCGTGAGGGCATGAGGGCATGAGGGGATGAGGGCATGAGGGCATGAGGGCATGAGGGGATGAGGGCATGAGGGCGTGAGGGCATGAGGGCATGAGGGCATGAGGGCATGAGGGCATGAGGGGATGAGGGCATGAGGGCATGAGGGCATGAGGGCATGAGGGCATGAGGGCGTGAGGGCATGAGGGCATGAGGGCATGAGGGCGTGAGGGCATGAGGGCATGAGGGCATGAGGGCATGATGGCGTGAGGGCATGAGTGCATGAGGGCATGAGGGCATGAGGGCATGAGGGCGTGAGGGCATGAGGGCATGAGGGCATGAGGGCATGAGGGCGTGAGGGCATGAGGGCATGAGGGCATGAGGGCATGAGGGCGTGAGGGCATGAGGGCATGAGGGCATGAGGGCATGAGGGCATGAGAGGATGCAGGCATGAGGGCATGAGGGCATGAGGGCATGAGGGGATGAGGGCATGAGGGCATGAGGGCATGAGGGCATGAGGGCATGAGTGCATGAGGGCATGAGGGCATGAGGGCGTGAGGGCATGGGGGCATGAGGGCGTCAGGGCATGAGTGCATGAGGGCATGAGGGCATGAGTGCATGAGTGCATTAGTACATGAGGGCAGAAGGGCATGAGAGCATGAGGACTTAAGGGCATGAGGGCATGAGGGCGTGAGGGCATGAGGGCGTGAGGACATGAGGGCATGAGGGCATGAGGGCATGAGGGCGTGAGGGCACGAGGACGTGAGGGCATGAGGGCATGAGGGCATGAGGGCATGAGGGCATGAGGGCATGAGGGCGTGAGGGCGTGAGGGCACGAGGGTATGAGGGCATGAGGGCATGAGGGCATGAGGGCATGAGGGCGTGAGGGCATGAGGGCATGAGGGCATGAGGGCGTGAGGGCATGAGGGCATGAGGGCATGAGGGCATGATGGCGTGAGGGCATGAGTCCATGAGGACCTGAGGGCATGAGGGCATGAGGGCGTGAGGGCATGAGGGCATGAGGGCATGAGGGCATGAGGGCGTGAGGGCATGAGGGCATGAGGGCATGAGGGCATGAGGGCATGAGGGCGTGAGGGCATGAGGGCATGAGGGCATGAGGGCATGAGGGCGTGAGGGCATGAGGGCATGAGGGCATGAGGGCATGAGGGCATGAGGGCATGAGGGCATGAGGGCATGAGGGCGTGAGGGCATGAGGGCATGAGGGCGTGAGGGCATGAGGGCATGAGGGCGTGAGGGCATGAGGGCGTGAGGGCATGAGGGCATGAGGGCATGAGGGCATGAGGGCATGAGGGCGTGAGGGCATGAGGGCATGAGGGGATGAGGGCATGAGGGCATGAGGGCATGAGGGCGTGAGGGCATGAGGGCATGAGGGCATGAGGGCATGAGGGCGTGAGGGCATGAGGGCATGAGGGCGTGAGGGCATGAGGGCGTGAGGGCATGAGGGCGTGAGGGCATGAGGGCATGAGGGCGTCAGGGTATGAGTGCATTAGGGCATGAGGGCATAAGTGCATGAGTGCATTAGTACATGAGGGCAAGAGGGCATGAGAGCATGAGGACATGAGGGCATGAGGGCAAGAGGGCGTGAGGAAATGAGGGCATGAGGGCATGAGGGCATGAGGGCGTGAGGGCATGAGGGCGTGAGGGCATGAGGGCATGAGGGCATGAGGGCATGAGGGCATAAGGGCATGAGGGCGTGAGGGCATGAGGGCATGAGGGGATGAGGGCATGAGGGCATGAGGGCATGAGGGCATGAGGGCATGAGGGCGTGAGGGCATGAGGGCATGAGGGCGTGAGGGCATGAGGGCATGAGGGCATGAGGGGATGAGGGCATGAGGGCATGAGGGCATGAGGGCATGAGGGCATTAGGCAGGCAGAGTTCAGGAGCTCGAAATTTGAGAGCCACGTGGAACGAAATGGAAACACTTGTTGCGGATGCCGAAAAAGGTCTAACCTAGTGGATTAGCACAAAAGATGAGGCATCCGATTCAGTGGACCAGTCAAAGTGATGCGTCGGGTAGTCTGGTCAGTATGCGCACCTATAATGGGTGTACCAGGCAGAGTTCAGGAGCTCAAAATTTGAGAACCACGTGGAACGAAATGGAAACACTTTTTGTGGATCTGGAAAATAGGCTAATCTAGTGGACTAGCACAAAAGAAGAGGCATCCGATTCAGTGGACCAGTCAAAGTGATGCGTCGGGTAAACTGGTCAGTATGCGCACCTATAATGGGCGTACCAGGCAGAGTTCAGGAGCTCAAAATTTGAGAACCACGTGGAACGAAATGGAAAAACTTGTTGTGGATGTGGAAAAAAGGCTAATCTAGTGGATAATCACAAAAGAAGAAGCATCGCATTCAGTGGACCAGTCATGTGATGCGTCGGGTAGTCTGGTCAGTATGCGCACTTATAATGGGCGTACCAGGCAGAGTTTAGGAGCTCCAATTTCGAGATCCACGTAGAAATAAATGGAAAAACTTGTTTTGGATGTGGAAATTAGTCTAATATAGAGGACTAGCACAAAAGAAGAGGCATCCGATTCAGTGGACCAGTCAAAGTGGTGTGCCGGGTAGTCTGGTCAGTATGCGCACCTATAATGGGCGTACCAGGCAGAGTTCAGGAGCTCGAAATTTGAGAGCCACGTGGAACGAAATGGAAACACTTGTTGTGGATCTGGAAAATAGGCTTATCTAGTGGACTAGCACAAAAGATGAGGCATCCGATTATGTGGACCAGTCAAAGTGATGCGTTGGGTAGTCTGGTCAGTATGCGCACTTATAATGGGCGTACCAGGCAGAGTTCAGGAGCTCCAATTTTGAGAACCACGTGGAAATAAATGGAAACACTTGTTGTGGATGTGGAAAATAGTCTACTATAGAGGACTAGCACAAAAGATGAGGCATCCGATTCAGTGGACCAGTCAAAGTGATGCGCCGGGTAGTCTGGTCAGTATGCGCACCTATAATGGGCGTACCAGGCAGAGTTCAGGAGCTCGAAATTTGAGAGCCACGTGGAACGAAATGGAAACACTTGTTGTGGATGTGGAAAATAGTCTAATCTAGTGGACTAGCACAAAAGAAGAGGCATCCGATTCAGTGGACCATTCAAAGTGATGCGTCTGGTAGTCTGGTCAGCATTCCCACATATAATGGGCGTACCAGGCAGAGTTCAGGAGCTCGAAATTTGAGAGCCAGGTGGAACGAAATGGAAACACTTGTTGTGGATGTGAAAAATAGTCTAATCTAAAGGACTAGCACAAAAGATGAGGCATCCGATTTAGTGGACCAGTCAAAGTGATGCGTCTTGTAGTCTGGTCAGTATGCGCACCTATAATGGGCGTACCAGGCAGAGTTCAGGAGCTCGAAATTTGAGAGCCAGGTGGAACGAAATGGAAAGACCTGTTGTGGATGTTGAAAAGAGTCTAATCTAGTGGACTAGCACAAAAGAAGAGGCATCCGATTCAGTGGACCAGTCAAAGTGATGCGCCGGGTAGTCTGGTCAGTATGCGCACTTATAATGGGCGTACCAGGCAGAGTTCAGGAGCTCGAAATTTGAGAGCCAGGTGGAACGAAATGGAAAAACTTGTTGTGGATGTGGAAAATAGTATAATCTAGTGGACTAGCACAAAATAAGAGGCATCCGATTCAGTGGACCAGTCAAAGTGATGCGCCGGGTAGTCTGGTCAGTATGCGCACCTATAATGGGCGTACCAGGCAGAGTTCAGGAGCTCAAAACTTGGGAACCACGTGGAACTAAATGGAAACACTTGTTGTGGATGTGGAAAATAGTCTAATCTAGTGGACTAGCACAAAAGATGAGGCATCCGATTCAGTGGACCAGTCAAAGTGATGCGTCGGGTAGTCTGGTCAGGATTCGCACATATAATGGGCGTACCAGGCAGAGTTCAGGAGCTCGAAATTTGAGAGCCAGGTGGAACGAAATGGAAACACTTGTTGTGGATGTGGAAAATAGTATAATCTAGTGGACTAGCACACAAGATGAGGCATCCGATTTAGTGGACCAGTCAAAGTGATGCGTCGGGTAGTCTGGTCAGCATTCCCACATATAATGGGCGTACCAGGCAGAGTTCAGGAGCTCGAAATTTGAGAGCCAGGTGGAACGAAATGGAAACACTTGTTGTGGATGTGGAAAATAGTATAATCTAGTGGACTAGCACAAAAGATGAGGCATCCGATTCAGTGGACCAGTCAAAGTGATGCGTCGGGTAGTCTGGTCAGTATGCGCACCTATAATGGGCGTACCAGGCAGAGTTCAGGAGCTCAAAACTTGGGAACCACGTGGAACTAAATGGAAACACTTGTTGTGGATGTGGAAAATAGTCTAATCTAGTGGACTAGCACAAAAGATGAGGCATCCGATTCAGTGGACCAGTCAAAGTGATGCGCCGGGTAGTCTGGTCAGTATGCGCACCTATAATGGGCGTACCAGGCAGAGTTCAGGATCTCAAAACCTGGGAACCACGTGGAACGAAATGGAAACGCTTGTTGTGGATGTGGAAAATAGTCTAATCTAGTGGACTAGCACAAAAGATGAGGCATCCGATTCAGTGGACCAGTCAAAGTGATGCGTCGGGTAGTCTGGTCAATATGCGCACCTATAATGGGCATACCAGGCAGAGTTCAGGAGCTCGAAATTTGAGAGCCACGTGGAACGAAATTGAAACACTTGTTGTGGATCTGGAAAATAGGCTAATCTAGTGGACTAGCACAAAAGATGAGGCATCCGATTCAGTGGACCAGTCAAAGTGATGCGTCGGGTAGTCTGGTCAGTATGCGCACCTATAATGGGCGTACCAGGCAGAGTTCAGGAGCTCGAAATTTGAGAGCCAGGTGGAACGAAATGGAAACACTTGTTGTGGATGTGGAAAATAGTCTAATCTAGTGGACTAGCACAAAAGATGAGGCATCCGATTCAGTGGACCAGTCAAAGTGATGCGCCGGGTAGTCTGGTCAGTATGCGCACCTATAATGGGCGTACCAGGCAGAGTTCAGGATCTCAAAACCTGGGAACCACGTGGAACGAAATGGAAACGCTTGTTGTGGATGTGGAAAATAGTCTAATCTAGTGGACTAGCACAAAAGATGAGGCATCCGATTCAGTGGACCAGTCAAAGTGATGCGTCGGGTAGTCTGGTCAGTATGCGCACCTATAATGGGCGTACCAGGCAGAGTTCAGGAGCTCGAAATTTGAGAGCCAGGTGGAACGAAATGGAAACACTTGTTGTGGATGTGGAAAATAGTATAATCTAGTGGACTAGCACAAAAGATGAGGCATCCGATTCAGTGGACCAGTCAAAGTGATGCGTCGGGTAGTCTGGTCAGTATGCGCACCTATAATGGGCGTACCAGGCAGAGTTCAGGAGCTCGAAATTTGAGAGCCAGGTGGAACGAAATGGAAACACTTGTTGTGGATGTGAAAAATAGTCTAATCTAAAGGACTAGCACAAAAGATGAGGCATCCGATTCAGTGGACCAGTCAAAGTGATGCGTCGGGTAGTCTGGTCAGTATGCGCACTTATAATGGGCGTACCAGGCAGAGTTCAGGAGCTCAAATTTTGAGAACCACGTGGAACGAAATGGAAA